GGCCATGAAGGCACCATATGGAGTTACAAAGAGGGCCATGAAGGCACTGTATGGATAATTAGAGGCCCTAGCTCAGTGTGGAAAGGTTCACCTTGAAGACAACATGATTTCTTTGTTTAGCTCACCTTGGATGACGTGAGAGTTGTCCTTCAGGAAAAAGTTGTACAGATACTTTGGAATGAAGGCGGACATGCAGGCATACGCTAAAGCTATAAGACAAAGACAACAAAAAGTAGAGGTCAAAACAGATTTCAGTGGTCGTAAGCTGCCTGACGGATTGAATCCTTACCTTCATTATTGAAATTCAAATACAAGAACGGGGCACAGAGTGAGTCTAACCCTGAAATGGACATTAAAGCACAATTATTCCAAGCTCCAAGAGGCTCTCCTGAAGTTAAAGGAATGCGTTTTAAAATGTGACTGAGCATCAGAAAATCTGGAGTCCAGCTCTGTTACAGAGAAGAGAAATGAAAGAAGCGTGGAGGCGATGGAGATTACTGACTGACCCTGCCAGTAGACCAGGTCCAGGTGGGAGACCACCCAAGCTTTCAGCACGCGTCTGAACTTGATGTGGCCCTCAGGAGACGACAGCAGCTCATCGTATTGGTGGCAGCGTGGGATGTCCACTTCGATCTGTGCACAGAAACCCCAGAACCATCACAGGAAGCTAGAGACAGTGACCATGTTTAAAATGCCAAAGCAGGTTCATCCCACCTGTCTGTCCGTTGGAATGGGAGTGTCCTTGTCTATGCTGTCGTACTTGGCTTGAATGTCACCCTGGCCAAGAAAAATAATTAAATACACTTAAACCTACATGTTCCTTCCAACAAAGAGTCCTTTTTGTACCTCGATGCCCAGCAGGGCTGCCCACGCTGGTCCTCGAACAAGAGGTGGAATATCCACTCGAGCCTCTTTCCACACACAGTTCTTCTTGTATGGGTACGCCTAAAATCCAACAACAAATATAAGAGATAAACTTATTCTGACATTATTATTACCATAATTTTCAGACTACTGAGCACACCCAAACATAAGCCACGCCTACTAAATAAAAAATTGTACATATATAAAGGCCGTGATTGTCTATAAGTCGCGAGTGTATACATTGCTCTGTTGTCAGGATCCTCTGCAGACAGGAGCAACAGTTGGTCTGTTGTCAGGATCCTCTTCAGACAGGAGCAACAGTTGCTCTGTTGTCAGGATCCTCTGCAGACAGGAGCAACAGTTGGTCTGTTGTCAGGATCCTCTGCTGACAGGAGCAACAGTTGCTCTGTTGTCAGGATCCTCTGTAGACAGGA